TCCTCCCCTGTATGCACCGGCCACCTGCATTTTCTCTTCTGTGAACCGACGGCCTGCCCGCCTTTGCTCGGTTTTCTGTCCCTGGAGGCCACCAGCTCTGGCCCTCCTGTCAGCTGTGTGCTGCGGGAGGCTTCTCGTCTGTGCAGTCGAACACCTTCTCACTGATGCCGGACAACATTCCTTTGGCTTTCAGTGGTGGTCCTTTGGCTTTCGGTGATGGGCGCTGGGGGGCAGTGATTCACATCTGTGCTTTGGTCAAGCCATCACAGAGTACATGACTCATGCTATTTTTCAAAATCTGTCCTATGAAAGCCTATGTAACGAACTCCTCTGGGGTCTCAGAAATTGTCATAACGATATCCATTACATATGACGTGTGAAATTCTCTCTCTCTTTTTTTTTAAAGATTTTATTTATTTATTTATTTGGCAGACAGAGATCAAAAGTAGGCAGAGAGCGAGAGGGGGAAGCAGGCTCCCTGCTGAGCAGAGAGCCCGATGCGGGGCTTGATCCCAGGACCTTGAGATCATGACCTGAGCCTAAGGCAGAGGCTTTAACCCACTGAGCCACCGATAGAAATATTCTGAAACGTCTTACTAATCTCAGGACACTCCCTTGGTCACTGCTTATGTTTCCAAATTTGTGAAGGTCAGAACTTTTACAGAAAAGTTTTCTGTGCATCTTTAAAAGACTCAATCTACAGTCCAAGGTAGAATTCCTGCTTTCCCGCTACTTGGTGTATGTGCCTCTCGTGTGTGTGTGTGTGTGTGTGTGTGTGTGTGTGTGTGTGTGTTCCCTCTTTTAGGGTCTGTAGATTGCTCCGATTTCTGATTTTACTCTCTGACCATTTCATGCTAAACTCTATGTCCTTACGGGGAGGAAGACGCAGTAAAGCGTGTAAGCAAACCCGTGACCTTCAGAAAAAGGAACTGGGTGTGGGCCACAGCTCTTCTCCTCACTAGCTGTGTGATTTTCAGTTTCTTAACCTGTAAGATGGGACTGTGGCCGCACCTCCCACTGCTGGGGTGTCATGAGGCTTCGAAGGTCCAGCACGGGTGCAGAGCCCAGGATGCTGGCCGGCGAGTAGCACAGCTCAGTAGCCGTCAGCTGCTGCTAAGAATAAACAGACACGCGCTTCCGGAAGGCGATTCGCCCGTGTGGACAGCACCTGCCTGAGCTAATGTATTACAGAATGAACATCACGGTCCACGTGAAAAGCACGTATTCCATGCAGGAGCTTTTAGGGCCGGAGCACTTGTGCACGTGGCTCCCCCCCCCACGTCCGTGGCCTGGGGTGTGTTTGGGGTGGACACTGCTGGGCCCCCCCTATGCCGTATACACCTATTTAAAATTCATCTGGGACTTTGGTGAGGTCTGGACTACAGGTGGGTTACTCCGAGGCCCGAGGCCCTCGAAGAAAGGGCTCTGATCGGCAGACACGACAGACCCCTCCCCTGCACCCTCCTTCCCATCAGCTCTGAACTGCAGCCCCAGGTCCCACTGAGCGCCTGGCCGTGTGGGCGGACCTCCTGCCCCCTGCTCCTGCCCCCTGCCCAGCCTCCACAGGCAAGAGACCAGAGGTTTCCCAGGGGAGATGCCCTGACCTCGCCCATCCCCTGCTGCCATTTGTCACAGACCTCGGGCATCTGCACTTTGCTCCTGCAAATATCTCATCCCACGCAGGGCTTCCCACTTTCTGAGAGCAAACATTAAAAGCTCTTACAGGGATTTAAAAAAAAAATTCAAAACCAATGCTCCATTTGATAAAAATGGAAATCTCTCAAGTGTCGGATGTCTGATGGAAGTCACTTTCTATAGCAAGTCTTAATTTCCTCCAGCTTTATTTTCAGAGCATTTTATCTCCAAACAAAATTCTGCGAGGCCCCAGCCTGACCGGGTGTCCAGCCATAGCTTTACAGAAATAGTCTACACTGAATTTTTCAATGAGGCTTTTTTTTTTAAATTTAAAAACTCTTTCATGTCAGTAATTAAAATAATTAAACAGTATATGATGATATAAAATAAATAAGTAATCTCCTTTGGCATTACTCCCTACTGCTCACAGTTTATTCTATACCTTTCTAGAAGTCAGTCTTTCAGTCACCTAGATGTATAAACATGCACAGACATCTCTAGATACTTCTCGCTCACTCAAGATATTTATGGATATCTTACACGTAAACATGCATTGTATGCCAAGCACCATTCTAATTGTTACTCATCCATTGAAACCTTTGACCCATACATCAACCTTATGAGTTAGTACTATTATTTTTCTCATTCTCCAAAGGAGGATGCTAAGGTCTGCATGGGCCAGTGACTTACCAGGGTCACAGCTAGTAAGTGGTGATGCTGGAATCTGGACCCAGGCCATCTCAGCTGAGCACCGACTCACCTACAACACTCCTGGCCTTCAATTTGCACATTTGGGGAAAAAAAATATATATATATAATATATATTTATTATATATATTCCCTAGCTATGAAGGGGTTCTGCATCTTTTCATGTCTCCATTAGCCACGTTAATTTAGTTTTCTGCCTAGTATCTGTTCATTTCTGATGCATTTGTTTTGTCTGTTAGGTTGTTTGAAAATGTCCTAATATATAAAATATATATATATATATTTTCCCCAAATGTGCAAATATATATATATATTATCAATATCATATATATGTATCATATATATGTATATGATATTGTTCCCTGTCAGTACACATATTAAACATTTTAAGGAGGGGGATAAGAATTTAAATAATATTGAGCTATTGTTAAAGTTGTTTTAAATACCATTTATTTCCTTTGTGGAGAATAAATTGTTCTTGGTTAGAACAGTCTATTCGTATCAAGTTCTGCTTCTAGATGAGCTCTAGAGAACATTTCCTGTTCCAGCTCCACGTTCCTTTCATCTGTGTCACGATGGCTACATAGTATTCTACCAAGTGAATATCCTGTTACTTTCTTTACTCTATTGAGAAATAAATCCTTCCCTGTTGCAAGATCTGTCCTATGCATCTTGGCGCAGGAGGCTTTGGGTCAAAACACAAGTAAATGGAGATTTTAAGATAGGTTGTTTTCCTCCCATAGGGTTACATAGACTTACACTCCTGTTCGCAGTGTATAAAAAAATTTGTTTCTCTATACACTTGCCAACACAGAGAATTAACAAATCTCTTGCTATCTACGCATCAGATAGCTGTGAATGTGCTCCCTTGTTTTAATTACAAATTCCCTAGCTATGAAGGGGTTCTGCATCTTTTCATGTCTCCATTAGCCACGTTAATTTAGTTTTCTGCCTAGTATCTGTTCATTTCTGATGCATTTGTTTTGTCTGTTAGGTTTTTTGAAAATGTCCTAATAATTTATAATAGCACTTTATACACAGAAAAAAAAAAAAAAACAACACTTTCAGTCAAAGTATGGCCCAATTTTGCCTTTAAACTATTGCCTAACGTTTTGTGGCATTTTTGATATGCTTAAGTTTTTTTTAAAGATTTTATTTATTTATTTGTCAGAGAGGGCACAAGCGTGGGGTGAGTGCTAGACAGAGGGAGAAGCAGGCTGCCCACGGAACCGGGAGCCTGATGCAGGGCTCAATCCCAGGACCCTGAGCCAAAGGCAAACACTTCACCGACTGAGCCACCCAGGTGTCCCATGCTAATTATTTTTTAATGTGGTTATGTTATTGGTCCTTTGTTTTTATGGCTCCTAGGAACACCCACATGTCTCTTCGCTTGCCCATTACAATGGCACACAGAGACACGTATTATTGTCCCATTTACCCTTGGAGGAAACTGAGGCTCTGGGTTAAGTGACTTGCCCAAAACCACACAGCCACTACTGGGGGAAGCTGGGTCCAGAGTCTGGGACCCCCTAATTCCCCACGCCCGGCTTCTTTACAACCCAGCAGCTCATCACATCCTCCAAAAAGGGTTTCCAAGCAGTCCTTTTTTTTTCCCAAGCAGTCCTTTTGTTTACGCCATTTTTCAAACATTTAAATGAAATGATAAGCAAACAAACAGAAATAGACCTCAGTGAGGACCTTTTCAAATTTATTTAGTTGGTTATAGAAGAGGAGGAAACCGAGACTGCCCTAGCCATTCACGCGCAGGGGATGGGACCCCACAAGCTCCCCAAGACTGGGGACATCTGCTCCCAGAGAAGCCTGTACTTCTTAGCCGGAGCCCAGCTCTCCCCCAGTTGTCTGGGCATCTCAGCCTCCCGGACACCCCCACTGAGGTCTTTCAGGCCCTACTGGCCACAAACTAAAGAGAACAAATCGAGGGTTGATGGAGGGAGGTGGGCAGGGGCGGGGCTAGATGGGGGACGGGCATTAAGGAAGGCACTTGTGATGAGCACTGATGTCCTGTGTAGCGATGAGCCGCAATTTCTACTCCTGAAACCAGTCTTGCACTGGGAAGTTAACTAACCAGAATGTGAGTAAAAATTAAAACAACAACAAATGTGCCCAGTACTGGACGCGCCAGGTGTCCACTCCGCCGGGCCACCAGGGGCTCAGGCCGCAGGACGGGCCACCGAGCTGCCCGCTGCCGCAGCCCCCAGGTCACTGGCACAGACCTCCGGATCCCACCCGGTGGGCACTGCCCGAGGAGCTCTCCGCTGCCCGCCGCCGCCGCCGCCCGCGCTGCAGGCCCCACCGCCTCCCCGACTCCCCGCGCCCCTCCTGCGCCCCCCAGGTCATTCCTGGCCCTGCGACAGGCCTCTGGGCGATCGGAGCGGAAGTCCCTGCTCCCGGCCGCCTCTGCCACCCGGACGCCCACCCCGCCCCTCCTCCGCCGCGCGGGGCCCCTCCCAGGCCGGAGGCGGACCCCGCAGGTCTGCACCGCCCGCCCAGGACCGCCCTGCCCGGCCCGGCTGCCTCCCGTCCTGCCAATCTCGGGGCGGGGCGGGGTCCGCCTGCCCGCCGGGGCCAATCCGAGGCGCGGGGCGGGGCCGGAGCTGTGGCTCCGCCCCCGGGGCGGGGCGTCACGGCCTCCCGGACCCAGACCCAGAGCCAACCTAGGCCACGGCACTGCCCGGCCGGGATCCCGTAATCGGGGGGACCGCTTGGCGCGATGGACCCGACGCTGGCCGCGCAGATGAGCGAGGCGGTGGCGGAGAAGGTGCTCCAGTACCGGCGGGACGAGTCAGGATGGAAGATTTGCCGGGAAGCCGTGAGTGCGGAGCTGGGCAGGAAGGGGTGGCGTGCTCCCGGGGGCTGGGGTCTCCGAAGACCCCAGGCTCCTCCTCTTCCTGCCCCTTTCTGCTCTCCAGTACCCTGGAGCTGGATAGGGTGGGGGTAGATTCCACTGAGGGTTGATTCCTTAAAAAACCCTGGGCCTGTTTGCACCATGACCCCGGGAGATGCGGATCTGTCCCTTTCAGTGAGTGACTTGCCCAAGGTCACTTGGCCAGCAGACGGTGGTTAGGCTCCAGAGCCTGCCCTCTTCTTGGCCGGAGCCTCTCCCCGTCCCCAGGAGGGTGGCATGGGCATAGTTTTGCTTATGCGAGGCTTCTGATTTTTAACAAATAGATGGAAATTGCTTGAGGAGACAAATGGCATGGTGGCTTTTAGGAGGTTTGAAAATCACCCCAAGCTCTTGGAATCAGCCAGTTCAGGACTCCTGCTCCACCACGTTCTGCGGGGGGAAAGCTCGGTCCAAGACCAACCCCTGCCCTGCCACACAGGAGTTGGTCAGCGTGGAGCAGCCCATCTCTTGAGGCTGCAGACTCCTCTTCTGTAGCGCAGGGGACTGGGTCAGGTGACCTCCCAGAGCCTTTCTAGCTCTAAATTCTACGATTCTGTGCCTTTTGACAGAATGGAGTGTCAGTTTCCTGGAGGCCATCTGTGGAGTTTTCAGGGAACCTGTAAGTGCCTGCCTCGCCCAAGTTTGTGAGAGGGGCCACTCCCTTCTTGATGTCTCTGTGGGTTTGCTTCCTAAAATCATGCCGATCTGCCCTAGCACCCTGGAATCCACTTGCCGGTTATCGTCCAGAAAAGCCTCTGTTGTTATGTGAATCCTTTCCAGCAAGCTGTATCTCGTGAACGCTTACGGTCCGCTTTGGCAGGTGTGAGGGGGGGGGAGGCTGGTTCACTCGCAGCCCCCGACTGCAAGGCTCTCTTCAAAGAGCAGGGACAGGTGTGACGTCTAGTCCTGGCCTCTGATCCCGGGATCGGAAGCTTGGGTGGATTCCCCCGGCTCACTTTCCTTCTCGTGCTCCAGGTACCGGGGAGAAGGCATCGTGAACGCGCCCCCGGAGAAGGTGTGGGACTGCATCAAGCCGCTTCCTGGGACCCTTCGGGCCAAGTGGGATGAGAACGTGAGCAGCTTTGAAATTATCGAAAGCCTCACTGATGTAAGTCTTTCCAAGCATGGTCACCCTAGGGGGTCGGGGACACCTTTTGGCAAGGGCAGCACCCCGCATGGCCCCGGTACCGCAGCAGACACGGGCTGCCCGCTGCTTGCCATGCTCAGGCCCAACCTTGGCCTGGGCGCAGGTGGGAAACCGTGTGACCAGATGGGGGGAGACGCCCTAAGCAGTCAGAGAAATGGCAGGATCAGCAGCGCTGGTCAAGGCTGGCGGCCTGAACGTGCTCTGAGGTCACTAAAGCCTGGACTCGTCAGCTCGGGTTTGAAATGGTGCCCCTCGATGGGGCTGTGATAATGAGTCCAGAGCCACAGTCAGAGTCAGGACCTGCCTTGCTGGTAGCCTCCCTGGATTACAGTTTCTCCACTGGTGCGAGTGTATGTCATCCAAGCTCGAGCTGCCCGGGAAGAACTTTCTAGAATAATGGAAATGTTCTGTCAACCCTGTCCACTACAGTAGCCCCCGGGCCCCATGGGGCCACAGAGCACTTGAAAGGTGTCTCGTTGGAGGAAACGAGTTGTTCATTTTATTTACTTTTTATTACTCTCGGGGTAAATTTAAACAGACATGGGGAGCTAGTGGCTATCGTATTAGCGTAATTCTAGATGCTTCTGTCTGAAGAACAGTAAGCGTTAGGAACTTACAGCGTGAAGAACCCAACTCGTTTGATTACAGAAGTTAGGAAGGGGGGTGGGGAGTCGTAGCCAGAACTAATAATAAAGTTGCCCTGGGGGAAAGTTGCCAGTCCGATAGTTCTGAGGTGTGTAGACATGATGCCCTCTTGCCTGTTTACACAGATGGTGTTTGCAACCTCACGCCACAGTTCTGTGCTGGTCCATCTGGACGACCCAGGTGCTCTTGGCCTGGCCCAGAATTCACATTTGAGTTCATGGTCTAGAGTTTATATGGGTGTTTCCTGAAGGGTGGGGCACACACCCCTGAGATACAAGGTTGTTAGGCAAACACTGACCTTGAATCATGCATGGTGATGTCACCGGGATTCAGTTCTTTTCTAATTCCTCTCAGAGCTTGAAGGGGAAAGTTTCATTTCAGTCCCTGTGACACCCATTTAACACTTGCTAATCTTTATAACAACACCCGGTGATCTCAGCCTCAGAATCAGAATTAGAAGCAACAATCCTTTGTGTGTATATTTTACAGATAAGTAGCTTCCTTTTAAAATAAATTTATCCAAGTTTATGAAAGTGAGTACATTTGGATAAAAATATTGTAAACAGCGACGTAGGAGCCACCAGAGAGAGTAAAAAAAATTAGGAAGCCGGTAAATGAATAGACACCTATGCCTCGAGTTGGGAAACCAGGGGCTAGTGGCCTTTACAACAGAACCCAGATGTGACAGAATGACCAGTTATGGAGTTTTCTTGAAGGTCACAGGGGCTGCATTTCTGTGGGCTGTTTAGACTTGGAAGTTGGGGGAGGTAAGGAAAAAGGGAGGCATCCAAAAGGGCTTTCATAGGCTGGGATCCTGGAGGCTTGGCTCTGACCAAGCTAAGGTTGTTTTAGCCTCTTACAAATAGTGGCAAGTTTCTTGGAGGAATGTCGCACGCACCCACCCAGGAGGGGCGTGGGGGAGGTTGCGGGTGGTCAGCTCAGGCTTTGTCCTCTGCTAGCCTTCTGCTCCCTCATCAGTGCCACAGGGTCTCTCTCTGAGCACCCTGGTTCTTCCTGGAAAGGCATGCCTGCTTCCCTGCCTGGGGCCCGCACGGACCCTCGGTCTTTGGCGCATGGCTGAGCCAGTGTGGGCCCAAAGCAGCCCCCACGCCCTGCCCCCTCCCCCTTCCCTGCCTGACCCTGTCAATCCTGTCCTGCAAATTTTCAAATGTTTTGCGCGTATGCCTCCAGCAGAGTTCCGAGAAATTCCACATCATCCCCATATGTCCACTTGATGCCGAACATTTCGTTAACGTCTAAAATTTTCATCATAAATTGCAAAGCAGAGCATATTTTTTAAAGATTTTATTTATTTATTTGACAGACGAATGAGAGAGGGACAATGGCACAAGCAGGGGGAGAGGGAGAGAGAGAAGCAGGCTTCCCACCGAGCAGGGAGCTTAGTGTGGGGCTGGATCCCAGGACCCTGAGAACACGACCTGAATTGAAGGCAGGTGCTTAACCCACTGAGCCACCCAGGCCGCCCTAGAAGCGTGGCATTTTTACAGGGGATAAATCAGACAGTTTTAGGCAAAACAAGGACGTCATTCTTTCCGATGCATCTGCATGACATGAGTTTTATTTACTATCGTTTATTTTAAAAGTATGTTGATGCTATATAGGCCAGGAGTGAATGGTGTAGAAAGAATTCTTGAGACATGTTAGGCGCAGAAAGGCCCTTTTATTAAAGCACAGGGACGGGCCCGTGGGCAGAGATATCTGCTCTGGGAATGAGAGGAACCACTGATTATACAGTTTTAACTTGGGGTGGGTAGAGGTAAAGGAAGTTTCCAGAAGGGTTTTCATATGCTAAAGAAGACTTCCAGGATCCTGGAGGCCTAGCTGTGGTCAAGCTAAGGTTGCTTTTTGCCTCTAGCAAGGCAGTCCTGAGTTCTTGCAGGGGTATCTTTCCCGACTCAAGTATTTGTCATTCATCTTCAAGCTGTAAGGAAATTTAATTTTATCTACTTTCTTTTGCCTTTGTTCTCCTCATCACACATGAACACTTTTTCCTGAAACAAAAATTTTATTTTATTTTTTTTCTTGAAATCGTTTCTCCATTGCTTGCGGGCTACGGAATGTCACCCTAATATATTTATGCTTCAAAGACATCATCCTTCAATAATATGACTATTAATTATATGTACATAATGCATCTCCTGGGACTGCGTGTTAGAAAGAATCTGGACTGAGATACGATTGTAAGTTATTAAGACAGGACGATTGTATTACAGATGTGGATGAAGCACTAGTATATGTAAAAAGTAATACATTTTACATCTATTGAAGAGAGGACCGGGAGGCCTTTTCTCACGCGAATTCACAGGCCCCTGGAAAGATAGGACTTCCTGCTAGGAAGAGAGGGGCGCCTGGCTGGTTCCAGTTGGTGGAGCAGGTGACTGGATATCGGGGCTCCCTGAGTTCGAGCCCCCATTGTTGGATGCAGAGATGACTTAGAGATGAAATATTCGAAGAAAAAAAAGATGGAGGAAGACGGAAAGATGGAGCCTTCAGTGGACGGGGACTGTGAAAAGAGGAAGAACCAGGCTGCCGGTGAGCTCAGGTTTCCGAGAAGGGGAGGCACAGCCGACCTGTGGTTCCTCCTTGCCATGACGACGACAGTGCAGAGAAGGAACCCTCCCTTGCAGACTGGTGTTTATCAGCCTGATTTTGAGCACTCCCAAATACTGGAATTCTGCGTCGGCGAGAGAGATGGCAGGCGGACAGCAGGAAGGATGAGACACAGATCCGTGCGCGACTTTTGGGATTTATCCCACGTTGCCGCCTTGGGTGTTTCTTACCAACACTGTCCATGCTCCTTCAGGAGGGATGGATCCTGCAGCAGGAATCAGGACGAGAAGCCAGCGGTTACTAATAAAAATATGGATAGATAGATATCACTTCTGCCATTCCTGCTGCAAAATAGGAGAATTCAGAAGTGTCAAAACTGCCTTGTTTCTAACAGCAAGCTTTGGCCTTTAAAAAGAGTAAGAGGGTGGACATGGGATCCTAACTGTGGCCGTGCTCAACTGGTGCAACCAGCGTCCTGACCTGTCCCTTTGGTGCCCTGGGGGACGTGGCCGCCAGGACCGTGCCTGCTAGCAGGATTCTGGATGGGCAGGGTGTGCTGTGCATTTGTCCCCAGTGGAAAGGGAGAGCCTGTGTGGAGGTGACCCTGTTCCAAGGCTGGTGTTTTTAGGAGGAACACAGGGAGGCCGCGTCGTCTGGAAATGGATTCCCAGTGCCCTCCTGAAGACTCAGACCCTCAGGGCACAGGTGTCTCTGCCAAGACACTCCATGCCCCAGTCTTAAAACCCAGTCCCTTAAAGGCAGTCCCTTCTTGCCTGTGCCATGCTCCGGAGAGGTCCATCCCATCCTACAGCTGACCTGCTCTTTCTCCACTGTGACCCGGAGAGAGCGGTGGCCCTGCTGGAGGAGGGGAAGGATGGGATAAAGCCTGGTTGGGTTTGGGGTGACCTTGCCTTCAAAGTGGGAGGGTGGCCTGGTGGCGTACTCTGAGATTGGGGTGCGGATCAAGGGGGGGCTCCCTCCAGGGCCGGCCTGGGGGGACCAGAAGGCTGCCCAGGCATAGCACTGAAGGAGGCCCTTGCTCTGAAGGCCAGACTCCCCATACTCCCCGCTTCCCAGACACCGGGTGTAGGGCAGGGCAGGGAGGCCTGCGGCAGTAAACGCAACCCTCTGTGCTTTGACAGACGCTGTGCGTGAGCAGAACCACCAGCCCCTCGGCTGCCATGAAGCTCATCTCCCCCAGAGACTTTGTGGACTTGGTGCTCGTGAAGACGTATGAGGACGGGACCCTCAGTTCCAATGGTGAGTGACAGCCAGCCTGCCACCGGGGACTCACAGCCTGGGTCCCCTGTTCCTCATGCACCTGGCCACGGCAGCTAGTGGGGGATCACCCTGGGTCCCCTGTTCCACGTGCACCTGGCCTCTGCAGGTGCAGGGGGATCGCATGTCGTGGGGGGCCATGGCAAGGGAGCGCCCAGGCCAGTCATTGTATGTTGACGTCACAGACATGGCCAGCATCCCTCGTCTTTCCCACTGAGGCTCATGGTCTACGCTGTCGCTGCATGGGGTTGTGGCCCTGTCCCCTCCCTCCTGCCCCTGCACATGTCCCACTGCCTCCTGAAAGCCACAGCCCTCGCCATTTGTCCAGATCCTCTATGTGGGGACAGATGGAGATGGGTGCCTCCCTCCTGCCCCCTGGCCTTACCCTGTAGAATGTTCTTGTCTCTGAGATGCCAGCAGGTTTGGGAAGCCGTGAACATGGGTGTGTGCACGTGTGGTGGTTTGTGTGTGTGTGTGTGTGTGTGTGTGTGCACTCGCGTGTGAGTGTAAGGATGGCAGGGGGCTTGGGGACAGGTCCCAGGGCACCCGTGCTGACTCCTCAGGCTCCAGGTGGTGTGGTCTGCATGCACAAGAGCTGAGGTCGTAGCTCAATCCCCGTTTGGCTATCTTCCAGCTATCAACGTGGAGCACCCGTTGTGTCCCCCGAAGCTGGGTTACGTGAGAGGGTTTAACCACCCTTGTGGCTGCTTCTGTGAGCCTGTGCCAGGGTAAGGATCATCGGGGTTGAATAACGTGCCCAGACCTACGCGTAGATTAACTGTGGACCTTCTGGGCAATGGGTGCGTTAATTACAGTTTGCAGTAATAAACCAGCCCGTAGGGAGCCCTGTTCTGGACACGTCATGACGCGGTGCGCCTAAGCACCAAGGGAAGGCCCCAGCACCAGGGGAGGCCTTGTTCTTACTGTTTCCAGTGTGGGGCTCCCCTCCAGTCCCATAAGGCAGGCTGGGCAAATGTCATGGTCCCATTTAGCAGATGAGAGAAGGAGCTCATGGAGGTCGGAGGACCTCTCCCCGGTCAGAGGCGTCAGAGGCTGGCAGTGCAGGGCCAGAGGGCCAGGTCCTCCCTTCTGTGCTCTTTGACCTCTGTCAGCCAGCCTGGAGCAGCTGATAGGGGGCTGTCCCCACCCCATGTCCCATGCAGGGCTTGTCTCCCTTCAGTGAATAGAAAAGCCACAGCCCAGAGCAGCCCGTGCTGGGTTGTGCTGCTCACCTGCCCACCGTGTCCCTCTCCAGGCCTCTGTTGCCCTATCTGTGCGACTGGGAGGAGGCAGAGGTTTGGAAGGTGCAGGCCCTCGGGCTCCGTGATGGGCAGGTGCCGTGTTGGGTGGGGTTCCCGATGACGAATCTCAGTGTCCCGGCCTTATCTGTCAGGGTGGGTGCTCCTCCGTGGCCTTGGGGCACAGCCCCCATGCCCCGCTCCTGACGCGTGACGCGGCTCTGCCCCTGTTTCCCTAGGGAGCCCAAAAAGACCCACCTGGTCACGTTCTTCCAGACCGACCTCAGCGGCTACCTCCCGCAGAGCGTGGTGGACTCCTTCTTCCCCCGCAGCATGGCCGGGTTCTACACCAACCTGGAGAAAGCTGTGAAGACTTTGTACAACTGACGTTTGCACATGCTAGCCGAGGACTCCCGGACCTCACTGCAGAGCCCTGATGCCAGGATACCAGAGAGCTCCGAGGGCCAGTTTTCACCCTATGGGACCTGCCTGGGGACAGCTCATTTCGGCGGAGAAACCGGTGGGAGTGGCCCCCGCCACTCCACTCCCCGCTCCGGGCCGGCGAGGGAGTCGCTCCTTGGCCCTGGTTGTCCGCAGACCCCAAGGGGTGTGCTCTGGTCTGAGGCCTGTGTGTGCCAGTCACCGCCAGAGGCCACCTGCCCTGCCGGTTAGGAAGGACCCCCACTGACGCCAAAAGCCAGTCTCTGCTGCCTGGTTCGCACCCAGTGCCCTCCGAAGTGACCACACGGCACCAGATTTTCCCCCTTAAAACAATAACGGCTTGGAAAATACTCTTTTAACAAATGAGCTAAGCATTGGGGAAAAATACATTCGATATTTCTTTTGGTTATAGGTTCCATTTGAATCTGTCCTTTCCGCTCTTTTCCACTGAGTTAACTCCCGTGTCCCCAGCGGACCCCGGCCAGCTCAGCAGCCTCAGGGCTGGTGTCCTCCGTGCTCGAGCCACTCTGCTGTCCCCATGAAGGATGGGAGGGCAGGTCCCCTCCAGCGGCGCTGCCTGGAGTCCCCACTCTAGGCTCTGCTCTGAGATCGCACAGGTCTGGCCTACTGTGTGGGTCATCGGAACAGGGGAGCATGGCTTTGCCACCTGAAAGGGGCCTCAGCAGCCACACGAGGTCCCCTCCCTGTCTCGGGTTGGGACCACACAGCCTGTCACAGTGAGCGGCATCTCGTGTCTGACCCCAGTGTCCTTGAGTTGCGGTAACGACGGTCCGCAGGAAGTTTCCAGAGTCCCCCCAGGGAAAGACAGCCCCGCCTCGTGCGTAGGACTCACTTCCCCACCTTCGAGTCCTGGGGCGTCTGTCTCTGGGTGTGGTGAAGCACGAGTAAGCTTTGAAACAGGAGGGGTTAGGGGGCCCCCTTTTTACAGGTCGCGGTGGGACCGCAGACTTCACAGTCCTATCGTTGGGACCGTCCCGCTGACTTACCCAGAAACCTTCCTCAGGCTCTCGGATTCGTTAGATCACATTCCCTCGGTAAGTGCGTAGCAGGGCCTGACTCCGCCGGGTGGCCGCTCAGGAGACCCCGGAAACCACCTCTGCCTCCCTGTCTAGCAGGATGGAGAGCCCATTGCGCCGCGGCTCAGAGGGTCACAGGGTCCCTTGGGGGGAAGCCGTGCTGCCCGGGAGACTGAAAACGTGCCCTTGTCCTGGTGCCTGCCACTCACTCAGAATTCCTTCTCCCGGTCAGTGCCATCACTGGCCCCTGCTGCACGGCCTGTCTTGCAGGGACAACGTGGGGACGGGAATAACAGTCCCCAGGTTGCCTGCTGCTTCAAGTCCCTGCAGATGAGATGAAGTACCGACTGATTAGATGCGGCTCAAAGCAAGGAACCAGGGCGGCCTGCGAGAGGCCCTGGGGTGGGTGCGGTGCCCACAAGGTGGGAGTGGGTCCCTGATGGTGAGCTGTGGCGCTTGCCGTATTTGGGGGTGACCGGAAGCCGTTCACTGAGGCGCTCTCCTCTGCCTCTGCCCCCTTCTCAAGACGTCGGCCAGGGATGGCCAAATCTTCCGCGTAAATCCCAGCACCGTGACTTCAAACGGATGAGCTCTTGTGTCGAGACCTTGCTGGCTCCTGGACTGAAGACGCGTCCCCCACCCCCAGCACCGAGCCTGGAAACGACCAGTGGCGGCGTCCTGAGTGGGGAGGGAGGGACCTTCCGAAGCAAGAGGAGGGACTGGGAGGGCCGCAGGCCAGCTGTGCCCTAGTCCTGAGACAAGCCTGCTGAGACTTGCGGGGTGCCTTCTGTGTGTCCCCGGCCCGCGGCCAGCCCTGCGCTGGTGTGCGTCCCCTGCTCCGGTCCCGATAGAAGGCCACTCCTTCCCTGGGCTGGTCCTCATGCCTGACCCGGCTATTTGCCCGGCAGCTGGTCGCTACGAGATGGTGGGACCCGGGTGTGCCTCCCTGGCCAGCCCGGTGGGCAAAGGCAGGATCCCGTGGAGTGACCCGGGGAACTCAGGCACGTCTTTCCGTGCTGGGTCGCAGTGATCTTCAATGTCTGTTAAACCTGAAGAACCAGTCCGCCTGGTGTCTGAGACCTTGTCTCTCTGCGGGGGCGCAGGGCAAAACTCACAGGGGAACACGCCAGGCAGCAGGCAGGGCGCGACCGCTGTGAGCCTGCCGTTTTCCTGGGTTGAGGGGATCGGCAAGCTGGCGCCCACTGCAGTGACGCTGCACGTGGCAATGGCGTGAAGAGGGCCCCCCGGTGAGAGTCCTATGAGTTCGCTGCCAGGAAACAGTCTGCCTCCTGCAGACCCTGGAGAAGCCACCAGATTCCACTGACGTGGCCCCAGTGCTCCTGGCCTGGGAGTAACTCACTTGTGTGTTGTCCCCAGACTCCACCAGTCACGGGGCTGGGGCAGGGCTGGGACGCTGCGGGGGCTGGTCGGGTGCTGCTGCTTGCTGCTAAGACGTAGGTCTGCCCTGAGCATGGCCGTCAGGCATTAAGATATGAACAAAGCAAATATGTGCTGGTCCATACTGGCCCGTCAGTCTGTACTGAATCACAGAAAAGAAGGACTTAGTCTCGGCCACATCGTTCACCAACCTGGACGGGCCGGGCCACTTGCCATCTCCCAGTCTTGGCCCCCTCATCAATTCAGTGGCACAAAACCACACCCCATAGAACCCCATTGTGATTAGCAAAGACTGTGACTGCTAACGCCAGCCTGGTGCTCGGCCCGGGGTAGGTTGACGATAGCAATTTCTAGTTTACCGTGTCATACACGTGCTGGTCCATGCTGTGGCACACCTGCCCATGCTTTGGGTCTCACCTGTACTCCCCTTGGCGTCCTTGCCCCACCACCCAGTTCCCCCTAGGCCTTGGATCATGTCTCCCACCCAACAACAACCAGCTTCGCAAGGTTTTTGTGTTGTAGATGGTGTTTTCCCCATAGCCCAGCAGCGGCTGCCCTCGCCTCGCTCCTGGGTCGGCTTCCCCGATAGGGTCCAGCAGAAGATGCCTCGGGGCTCTGAGGCAGGGTCAGAAGAGGATCCCCGAGCCGGCTCTCACTCTTGCCTCAGCCGCCATGTGTGAGGAAGCCCAGGCCTGGGGCGAGGCCCGCTGTGAGCGTCCAGGCTGACCGCTCCAGTTCGGGTCCCACCAAAAGACCACACCAGACTGACCCTCGGGGGCAGTGATCGAGCAGCCTCGGAGCTGCTTGGGCAGATGCCCAGGAGAGCAGCACAGCCCATCTCCGTGTGACAGACGCGTGAGAAACGCAAATGCCGTATGCGGCGTGAATCATCCCACCGTTCCAGGACTCGGGAAGTCTGCCAAGCAGGACATGGGTTTCATACAAACCGGGACACAGCCGTTTTATTTATAGCACCACAGTATTTTCTTTACACTCTCTGTGCCTCGTCTGTATGGGCCTCCCCGTGACTCTGCCCTTCCTTTCGGGGCTGCCCTCTGGCTGGGTGACTTTCTGGAAGGTCAGGACCAGGGCAGTGGCACCAGGAAGCACATCTCTGCTGTCCCCTGTCCGGGCGGGGAGCAGCAGTGACCCTGAGAATTAGCACTTGTGAGCAGTTCTGTGCTTGCCTATGGGTCTCCCGCCCCTGAGGTCCCCTTGGCCTGATGGCTTTTCCTCCTGATGACAATCGGGACAGGTCCATCGGGCAAGGTCTTGATGATGTTCCAGGCTTCAAACCGCGTGAGGCCCTGCATGGCCGTGCCAGCCAAGTGTAGGAGCTCGTCCCCTGGCTGGATTGTCTCGCTCTGCTCCGAGGCGGCCCCTGAGAGGAGGAGGAAGAAGATAACGGGTTGCACAGTGACCGGGGAGCAAGGAAAGTTACCTCCCAGAGTCAGTCTCCGAGGAGCAGGACAGCTCGGGAGAGAACAGGGTGCCCGTCCCTCAGGAGCTTGGCGGTGGGCCTTTGATGGGGCATCTCGTCAGACGGTGACCTCAAGGTGGGCACGCCAGGCTCTAGCTCCGTGGCCCTCAGGAAAGGTGTAGCCTGTGTGTCCCCAGAGAAGGGAGGTTCCAGGCAGCCCCAAGCTCAGAGCCAGGTTGAGGAGACTTTCTGGATCCTAGAGGCCTGGAGAAGACCCCTGCGTCTGTGGGAAGAGGACAGAATCGTGTACGGCCCCCACTCTTTCAAAGGACTGTTGCTTTATTGTAACGAATTTCCCATCCGTTTGCCACCATGAGATTCAGAGATAGTGACTAAAAGCTAATAGTAATGAGAATTTAAAAACTGCTCAAGTATTTCAGATCCTTGTGCCCATCGGGTGTCCAACTAGCACTGCGTGGGGAGCAGTCGTGCCTTTGCACTTGCCAGGAGCGTGAGGACTGGGGTAACCGGCCAGGCCTCAGAGCTGGTAGTCCACCTTCAAATGCTAAGAACGTCTTTCCCAGAGTTGGAGTAAATGAGGATTCCCGGGGAGCCCCCCGCCCCAGGGAGCCTCCTCGCACCCGGGTCCAGACACACCCCACAGCTCTGTGTGGACGAGGAGCCCCGGGTCCTGGGGGGCAGCGGTCACTCAGCAAGTGAGAGGCTGAGCTGGGGCCTGAAGCCGGGTCCCTTGACCCCTGCCCGGGGCTCTGCCCCAGCTCCCCGCCCTGCTGCTGGGGCTCTAGCCTGAAGAGCCCTGGGAGTGCAGGCCTCTCACGACAGTCATGGGGAACCCTGAGTGACCCCCACTTTTGGCCGGCTTGCAGCTCAACCTGAGATGAACAAAACGTCAGCATTTTGAATAAAAATGAGAGCTGACGGGTCCAGGAGTGGGGGGAGCCGAGCGAGGCTGAGTGTGTCCAAGTGGGAAGACCCTGTCCTTATTTTAAACTTTGATATTTTGTTCATTATGGATTTTGTTTTATTTTAATTCTTAGACCTAGTGCATTGAAATTGGCTACTGCGGGTCTGGGGACCCCCTTCAGGGCCATGTCCTGGGCTGTGCC